ACGATTAAGTTACATGCATCAGAACATATAAATCTCATAATTCAATTATTTCACCAATTGCTCGCGGCCCCCAATGAATTATTTCACCAAAAAAAGAAAAAAGAGCGACTCAAGCTTTTCGTCGAACACCTCACATGCACCCGAACCAGAACAGCAACCCCTCACGAGGAAAGGGATAAAAATCGAAAACCCATCAACTCCATCACTACATGAAAACCCCCCATCCAACAAATAAGTTCCAATCAAACATAAAAAGAAGCAAAAAATTTACCAGGATTTCGGAAACAATACGAGGCAGATGGAATCGCCGGAGCAAGAGATGAATGCCCTGCGTGAGAGCGAAAATGACGGCCAATTGGAGCTGCAGCCGAGGCAGGGCGTAATTCAGGAATTTCCCGGCGTCTGTGGAGCCCCAGACGCCGGGGGAATGCAGACCGACTGAGACGTAACAGAAATCGTTGGTGACATTTCCGGGAAGCGCCGGCTGATCATCCATCGGCGCAACAAAAAAAATAAAAGAAAAATTGGAAAAATAATGAAAAATTACACCTTCAACCCGGCTCGAGCCCGCCTACCGATGTCAGATCATCAACGGGGGCCCGATTGAACGGGTGGAAATGAAAATGTGTGGGATTTTCATCTGCCATTTTTTGGAGGAGAGGTTTATATGGGTTCCTTTTTTAATGGTGGAATAGAGGTTTATTCATGGGGCGATCATGGAATGGACGGCGTGATGCTGGTTTTGCCGCCGATAAATATTGGCAGCCATCAATAAGTAGGAGATGAACTTGTTTTCTAACTGTGGAAAGTGGTAGTGTATTATTTGTTTATTTGTCAATACATAAAAATATATTTATGCTATGATTTCTATCCGTATACTTTTTTTCTTTCTTTCTTTCCTCCCATCTCATTTTCAATATAAACTNTTTTATTTAATTAAAATCAAACTTAATTGTCATTAAATATTTATCTATAAGGTTCGCTATTAATCAATTATTATTTGATTATATTTTATGTCATCACAATTAATTTTTATTGTTATGTCATCCCGCTATATAGTAAAATAACATTTAATTCTTCTATAAATTTCACTAAAATAAAAGTATATCAAATTACGCATGTTTTTTATACTGTTTGATTCCAATCTCTCGGGTATTCGATTTCAAGGCAGTCGTTTCACTATCGAACACCTCCCATTTAAGTCCTCAGATCATCGTCCTATAATCTTACGCTTTGAATCATTTTGACTTCGGGAGGACAAATTTTTTGTTCAAATCTAATTTGATTACTAATTAAAAGAACGGTTATCAAACGCGAACGAGTTTTGTTCGCGAACAACTCGTTCTATAACAGCTCTATTCAGAACGAGTGCTTATATCTATTTTCTTTCCATTTTTTTTTATGTAGTATCTAAATCTTTTTTCTTTTTTTAAAGAAAATGATTGATTTAGGATGAGAATGGTGACGTGTGACCTCGAAAAACAACGTAAGTGGATAAGAACAACAGGATTTTTATTTTTTTATTTTTTATATCAATAAAAAAAATAAAAAAACTTTTGTTCTGCCCACGATAATGCACTTTTGTTTTTTTGCTTAGGCTACACAACACACAACCAAGGTGCGCCCGCACGCTGATCTGTCTCCATTTTGTATCTCTTTTTGCGGTCCCGCCGCGGAGGAAAACGCCATATTTATTTAGGAATAGGAAAGTACTCTGAAATATTTTTTTTCAAGATATTAAACAAAATGAGCTGGTCAAAAGTTTGTTTTGAATCTAAAATCATTTCCTTTTAAATTTTTTGTTTAGCTTGTTCGTTTGATATATGTGCGATTCTAATTCAATCATAATTTGTTTAGTCAACTCGCCGAGCTTAATATTGAAGATACTTTTTTAATATTATACGAGCTGTTAAACTATATAAGATATTTGTGAATTCATCTCTACTTGTAGAGACTCAAACTGTTTAAAACTCTAGATTGATTTTAATTTTGAAAAACAAGGGGAAGTCGAATTTGGGGTGCAACTCGTATAGTCAACAAGTTGAACTCGATATTGTAGGATATTTTTTGTGTTATACCAACTGATAAATAAAACGAAAACTTGTTAAAATAATTATATGTATAATGTACAACCAATAAAAAACACTTGCCTATTTATTATTTGGACGTATTAAGATGTACATATCAGTCACATATAAAAAAATTAATGATAGTTAAAAATTATACTATATATCTACAATGCTTTGAGTTAATTCAAAAAAAATTATATGATAACTAAAAAATAGATATAATGTAGAAAAATATATTTTTTAATGCAAATGCTAGTCGATTGAGATGTGACAACAAAAAAAATTCAATTTTATTTTAGATCCATGTAAATATATAGTCTCTTTTTGCATTAGAATCAATTTTATTAATTTCATACGACTTTATCCGTGTAATTTAAGATTTAAATTTATTTACAAGACACGTAACCAAAACTCGTGAAATATGTTATGTTAAAATAAGTTTTGAGTCATCAAAGTACGACTCACGTGACTTGATCTCATCTAAGCCTCTTTATATAAATCTGTAGTAGCTCAGTCCTCAAACTCCACACTATAATCGCATTATCTGTTTTTTCTGATCAATAAGTAGAAGAAGATGGCCACGTCAGCGCTCAACCCAAACGCGCCAATATTCGTGCCGACGGCGTACCGCGCGGTGGAGGATTTTTCCGACCAGTGGTGGGACCTCGTCCAGTCCTCACCCTGGTTCCGCGACTACTGGCTCCAGGAGTGCTTCTCAGATCCCCAAATCGCCCCGCCCTTCTCCGATATCGCCGGCGCCACCCAGGACGGCGTCGAATCGGACGGAAACGCCGCGTCGAAAGGTAAATCATCGCAAATCGATTCGGTTTCGATTCACCGTTTTTCCATCCGGGTCGCCGAGTCGACTCGTTCTCGAATCTCAATCTCATTTTGTTCTTCTTTTGTTACAGAGCGGGGAGGCGGCGCAGATCTGGTGGCGCTGGGGTGGTTGAAGTGGCGGCGGCCGCGCGGAGGGCCGGAGGCGGCGCCTAGGTACCGTGAGAAAGCGCCGAAGTTCGTAAGTGCGAGGGTCAGCCCGAGGCCGATTCAGCAGCCGCGTTAGACCGGGCCGGGTTATCGACCCAGTGTGAGTTGAGCGTGTTCAGGAGCTTCTGTTTTGTATATGTTTTTTTCTTTTTTTCCAAATTCCCCAGTAATTTTGTTAATTTCAGCTTCAAACTTCCAGTTGTGTACTCGTGTTATAATTGTATACGCGCTTTTATGTGGATAATGGAGTAATAAAGTCGCGATTTTAGAGACAAACGCACCTTTTTTTTTTTAATGAGAAAAAACATTATGCTTCAATTCCTTATCATATCACCTATGAATTGTTTTGGAGAAGCTACAATGAAGTGCCTCCTGATCTAAACGAGCCTAAGCGAGTTTGAGTTCCTGATACTTGAACTTAGATTTAAGACTTTATTGAGCCAAACTGAGTTTCGCTTGTTTAGTAACGAATTCGAGCTCATTTATCAATATTAAAGAGCTGATCTCAAGTGTTAATATGTTGAGATAGTAAAAAATTACACAAAGATTTATATTGTTTAGCCTTAACAAGCAAGATTATGCTCGGCTCGACGTGTTAACTATATGAGCTTTAAACGAGTTCGATTTAAATGAGCCGAATTCGATTCTTAATAAGTTGAATTCATGAGCTGCTCGTTTCATCTAAGAACTCTCAAGTGACTAATACTAGTACAAGCCATTTTATTTTATTTTATTTTCTTAGAATTTAAGGATGTTTTCTAGTTAAATTTAGGGAGGAGATGATGGGAATGAGGATTTGGATCTTGACTGAAGTAATGCCATCGGACCACGAAAATTGGCATAACGAGCCAAGCGCTTCATATTCAAGCCCGTGTTTGTTTAATAAACGAGTAAAAGAAGCTCGTGTTTGTTTAATAAACGAGTAAAAGGATCAGCTCGTTTAAGCTTATGAAAGCTCACTCATGAAATTAGGACTCCCTTTCCAAGCAATACAAACAGATGCTTTCCCTCATAAGAAGTTCTGGAAAAAAGGGTTTTACAGGGTGCGTATAATCTTTATGCCAAATAATTCTCATAGTAAACCTATTATCCCCAAAAAATATGATATGTATTCTCTTATTTTTAGTAACCTTAAACTTACAGAAAAAAGAAAAAAAAAATGCTGTGTCTCATACAAATGAAAAGATCAAACTCAGAATTATTAATTAATTAAGCAGCTAAGCAATATGTTGCACACATATTTTTCAGTGACAATTGGTATTTGCAGAGTGTTCATCCCAAGTGGTAGCTTGTTTTCCAATCTTGTGAAGGGCTCTAATAACTTCTTCAGTTGTAACATTCCCAGTCACAGTCACCTTATTTAATTGTGTATCCACATTATATGTTTCAATATCTGGAAATTACATTAGAAATTTAAGACAAATTAAGCAATTTATTGTGGTATAAATATAAGTAGAGAGAAGTACCAAAATAATCTTGGATACCATGTTATTGATTTAATTACCTTCAATTTTTTTATGAATTTGATGAGCCAAACAGAAGCAAAATTACTAAAGTTGAATCTCCAACAACTGGGATGATTTTTGTATTTTTTTTAGATTATTATTAATACCTTCAATTTTCTTGATAGCCTTCAAGATTTTCTTGATGCATTCGTCGCAGTGCAATCCGACCTTCAACTCGACCACCTGAAGTTACCAATCAATCAATCCATCATAATCCATATTTAAGAACATGTGATTGCAGAGAAACACAGAAAAAAAGAAATAATAATAAAATAAAACTTGAGAAACGTACATTAGCCATCAATATATTGAGCTTCACTTGACAAATTTAAACAGGTTAAAAGAAGAGAAATTGTCAAAATTAAGTGGAGAATTTAATGAGAGTTCTTNCGAGCCACGCTCAGCCGTGGAAATATTGATTGCATTGACAAAAGAAGAGCATATTATTTTTTATTTTATTAGTGTTTCTTATTTTAGTTTTTTTTTCATCAATGGTGTATGAACTTCACTTTCAATGAGATAGGGATGGAAGAAAATGCATTGAGGTGGTCTCCAGACGTGCATTACAATGATTTTATTTTTACTATTATGTAACCCGTGCGATGCACGGGCTGTATTTATTTTGGGGAATTGAAATGTATTAATAAATAAAAAAAGTGATAATTTGTAGGGAAATTGTCAAATAATAAAATTTTACTCATGAAAAAAAAAATATTATTAAAAACTTTCTTGTACACAACATTATTTGTTTAATAACTGAGCAACTCGTCATCCCCACAAACTAAATTGTCCGTCACTAAAAATCGATTTATTTCAAAACATGCCAGCGTATAGTAAAGACTGACTTTGACTCTTCTTTATCTATTACTTACACGCGTAACAACAATATATAATTGGTCGTGATCAAAACCGATTTTTTTTAAGAATATGTCAATGCACATCTCTTATCTATTACTTACACGTAAAACAACAACATATAATTGGTCGTGGCTAAGAACCAATTTCTTTAATAATATGCTACCGCACATAAAGACTGACCCTGACTCTTAAATGGAACCCTAAGATTAGAAGTACCTGGTGCTCTTGCAACTTAAATGGAATCCTAAGATGAATCTATTTATAATATGATAATTTACTTAGGCAGTCACACAAATGAGCTGTTAGTTTATCATTTTAATATCGATTACTTGATTAGTTAAATAATATTCACTAAAATTTCTATATTTTTTATACAAAAAGAATGACCTTGACTGTTTAATGGAACCCCAAAATCAGAAGGAATTGGTGTCGCTAGAACTTAAATAGAAGTTTAAGATGGATCTATTTATAATATGATAATTTATATGGCAGTTTGACAAATGAGTTGTTAGTTTATCATTTTAATATCGATTATACTTGATTAGCTAAATAATATTCACTAATATTTTTATAGTTTTTTATCTTGTTAAAAGAACATTAAACATGTATGTTTAAAATATTAAAAACACTAAATTGTATAAAGAATTAACATCTAATGTTGCGATATTTTTTCTATAAAGAATTACTATAAATACGGTGTATTTAATGATAATGGAGGGAAAAGATTGCTAAAAATGATTTAAGTCAATTCTTATTTTATCTATATATGTATATATATATCCATATATATTGAAAGTTATAATGTGACATAAAAAATGTTTGCTTGGGTATTTATAACACAAAATCGTGTGACATAAAAAATGTTTGCTTAATATTATTAAAATAAAAAGTAAAAATACTAAATAATATGGTAAATATTCCATAATGCGTTTGTTTATACGTATGATGATTTCAAAAGATAAGTTTCTCACCATAAAAGACGCAAAAAAATCGAGATAACAGAAGCAAAAAAATCTCTACATGATTTGGACAATAGTAAACCGAATGATATAGCAGTGATAAAAATCTTTACCATTCTCATCGATTGTTTTATTTAAAACGTGTAGAGATCTTGTAGAACCGTTCTCTAATGTTGTATGTATCTTGTGGAATTGTACATTTGTATTTATCTTGTAGAATCTTTCTCTAATTTTGCGCTAAATCTGCTTAGGATTAAAACGTGTTGAATATTTTACAATATTAAACAACACGCAATTATGGTATTTACATATTTGGGTTAATATTGATCTAAATTAAATGAATAATTTAAACTAAACGAATTTATATAATGGTGTATCATATCGACAGAGTTTGAAACCACGATTTTCGTGTATTTATCTTTTGAAATCATCATCAAATTTTTCGGCAAATTTGGTTCTACCCAATGTGTGTTGAATTTTATATTTAACAATATAAAAGAAAACAAAATTAGGGTATCTATATATCATGGTATCTTTACCTTTAAATTAAAAGGCAAATTCAAAACTATTTGTGATGTCTTACATTTGTAGATTTAATTTTTGAATTTATAATAAGCAGATGTATATTATTATTATTATTATTATTATTATTATTATTATTATTATTATTATTATTATTATTATCACTAATACTATTATTATTAGTATTAGTATTATATTATAAGTATAATTGATTAAAATTAAACAAATTTTATAAATTGTGTTACAGGATTTTAATAAACAATGTATTTATGACAAAATTTAAAATATAATGATTTTAAAAAATCATATTATTTGTTAAAAATGCATGCTAACCTTTAAATAGGATCTAATTTATAGTACAAATGTTTTTATTTTTGTATAACAAACAAAAATTGTTCCTTGTTGGCGCAACCATATATAAAGTTATAATTATATGTATTTATTTTTCTAAATAACATATTGAATCTTTTATATAAAAACATATTACTTTTCTTATTATCTATTGCTAATTAAAAAGTAAAAGAATCTCCATTATTAGTTTAGTACCAAACTTTTATTGATAGCACATAAAATAAGTAACACTTATATGATATACTAAAACACGGTTTTGTTTCCAAAATATATCAGATTTGCTAAAATGCTGCTTTGATTCCGAAAATAAAGTTTATATATATGGGATTATTTTTAAAACGCGACATTGTTACCTAAAAAACAGGAAAAAAAAATAGATATTTTGAAAGGATTTTTAAATTGGTTTCTACAAATGGAAAGTTAATAGGGTTGTTGACCAATTTTTTAAAAGTTTCTACAAATGATTTATTGACCTCTCTTTTTCAATATATATAGATTTATTTATTTTTTTGGGTACAAATAGAGGTTATTGCTAAGCAACATTAGGAATGAATGTGCCTTTAATAAGAGACACTCATAACGTCGTGCTCTGGCCGTGGGACAACACCTGACGGTAGAGCTGAAAGTAGTTGGAGACCGAAAGGAGTTGATGCCGCCAGAAACGCCAAAAAGTCAGCCGCGAAATTCGCCTCGCGAAAGATATGAGAAATCTTAACCCGCCATTCTTGACTAAGTAGTTCTCGTACTCCAAGAATCAAATCAGAGTGAACACCCCTTAAATCTTCCATATTGTTCGCAAAACTCACAATGATCGCATTGTCCATAATTATTTTAAATAAATAAAATATAATGTGTCTCCCTGAAATTACACAAACCACAAATCAGCGGCGGAGTCGTATGTTAAGTTTATCCGAGCTTCAGCCCGGTGGGTTATTAAGGAGCGAGTGACATAAATCAAAATTGGTTTTAATTGACTTTTGAGTTAAAATGAGTTAATTTAAAATAAAATCGATTGTCTAGAAAATTGAGTGAGATTTTAAGTTTGTACTTAACTCATATTTAAAATATAAGGATTAAAATTGATCTGATATGGCTAGCGAGGATCATATCCCAGATAATGTCACTGGCCGATCACCTTAAGGTCACATCGGCACCTTCCCCTCATGGCCGACATGTCAATTGACACACTAACCAAATGAAGTTTCTCTTCACCCCACCGTAGATAGGGACTAGCAATGGCAACCTCCTTTGCCTTGCCTATTTCCTCCGGCCTTAGTCTCGGACATATGACAACCGCTCATCCAATGAGGCAAATTGGGATGACTATCTCGTTTTTGGTCTCTCTCCATGCTCGAAGCTTCGAGGGGCTTAGATCTGGTCCAAGTTTTATCTCCTCGCCAAATTTGACTAGCCGTTCAATTCCAGTCCCAAGTTTCCAGATCTAGTGGTCTTAGATCGGTAGTTCTCTTTTGTTTTGGTCAAACGATGATAAATATTACTAATAAAATATAACAACTGTTGCAAGTACTGGCCTCCATAGTCCAGTATAATATCGAAATAATATATTGTAATAAAGTATTAGTAAGAGAATTCAAGTAATATATTGTAATAATGTATGATTAGGGAAAGCAATGACGGAGCTGTATGGGGACCAGGGGGGCCCGTGGGCCCCCTATATAATATTAAAATACTATAAAATATGTATAGAAAGGTAAAAAAATATTTACAATATATAAATAATTAAAACTTATTTTTTATGCTATTTGAATTAAATAATAATATTATTTGTTTATTGAAAAATATACTAACAATCCTTATATTCTACATTTCAAGATAAATATATTTATAATGATTTGCGACCTCGTAAGTGTAAATCGATTTAGTAATTTGTAAAATCCAGTATTTAGTTGGATTGCTACATTTTTAATGTTGGTTTTTTACTTTTTTTTTGTGCAATCATATATTTTTAAATTTATTTATTTTATTCTTAAAAAATTGTTCATTTGATATGCTCTTATCAACAAAAATGCTATGCAATGTGCTGCAAAAATTCAATTGAAATCAAAATTTCAACAAAAAAACTTAATTTTCCATAAACTATAGATGTTGAACATAAATAATACATGAAATCTCATTTTTTTTTTTTTTTTGGATTTTAAGTTCTTAAAAACTTGACAATGCACATATCGATATGTATATTTATAGTAAATACATTTTTATATGAAATATTCATTTCGACTGAAATTACAAACTTGTTATAACATTTAAAATCGGACCCCCCTGAGTAAAATTTCTAGATCTGTCGGTGAGGGGAAGAGGAAGAGAAAAATAGTTTTGTGAGTATTATTATTTATTGTTAATATTTGAATATGTTAAATTTTTATATTTTTTAATTCTAAACAGAAACTCTAAAATGATAATTATTTATAACGGGTAAAACACATAAAAATCCTATAGCTATTATATATCATACAAATCAAAGAAAAAGTTATTATTTTTTAATTTTTTTTTATAGTAATCAATATTTCTTCACTATTTTGGTTTATACGGCCTATGAAAAGAAAAAAGTTAGTATTATTTTTTAAAACTTTTTTATATTAATCGATATTTCTTCCATACTTTAGTTTATACGATTGATCATCATTTGCATCGTGTGAATACTAGTTATCTTTCAAAAGACATATTATTCATCTTTTTACATTTACTTGTTATGTTATTTTTATTAATTTCATTATAATGCATAAAATTAGTTCTTTTCATTCCTTGCTACTCGTATACAATTTCAAAATTCTTCCTTTGACTTCGGACAAAACCAACTGATAAACCGTTGACTTTTTAATTCGATTCTGCCGGCGCCGCCCTCGTGGCCGAGATCTCCTTTAACGGAGCAAATGGAGAGGTCTGTTAAGTGTCAACAATAAAATGGCTCTCCCGATCATCTCAAGTGGACGGCCATGATTATTTATAAAAAAAAAAAATAAAAATTGAATATAATAATACCAATATATATATAAATAACATTAATAATGAAACTCGNATAATATTTTTAGGGTGCATATGATAAATCTAGATGAAAAACTAACTGATAACTCGTAAGTTGATTAATAATTCATAAGTTAATTTTTAATTTATGAATAATAGCTAAAAAGTTAATTGATATTTTAACGTGTTTGATAAAATTAAATAATTATTTAGTTGAAATAAAAATTACAACACACTTTTCTAAAAAGTAATAGGAGTATGAGACAGCCTCGTGTTTTTTTAAAAAGCTCATATTGCAAAATTAAACTTATGTTGAATATAAAATTTTTATAAGTTAATAAAATAAATTATAAACTAGTTTATTATGTGAAATTGAATACCGTTGGTGTTGTTAGGCCGTTTAATAGTTAGCTTATTATATGTTTTTTACTAACTTCAAATTGAGATGATAATTATAAAAGATAACGTAAATAAAATATGTTATATTATATTATATTATATTATATTATAGTCTATAGATATCCATTTTTACTAAGAAAATTGTCAAATATAAATTCATTTGATATTACGCAAAAGCCAAAAGTGGAAAAACAGACAACCAATGAGATTTCACCACGTGTGTTTGCTTCACCTGATTCGTCCGGATTGCCGACCGAAATCAATTTCCTCGCCCCACCTTCAAATTTTGTTTTCTTTCGCTGATGTTTCTAACGTTCTCAGATTTTTTTTTTTTTTTTCTGCCCATATAGTCGTTGATCCCAAAGATTGAANAAAAGAAAAAAAAATAATAAAAAAAACTCGTGTGTGGGCTTTGGGCAAAAATCTCCCTTTACCAAGTTTGTAAGGATTTTATTTGTTATATTCGATTTTTTTATTTTATTTTCAGGTCCCCCAAGAACTGAATAAGCATGTTGTCTCATCTAGAAAAGCTCAAGCCAACTGGTGATTACTGTTTGCTGGATATCATTTGTGGTTTAATTTTTTGTTATCAAGAAAAATTAGTGATTCTATAAAACTCACTTTTCGTATGGTGCCTAGTTTTTGACTTCTGCACATGGTAGCTTGTTTACTCAGCTCGAACAAAATTTCGAGCTTTTGTAACTACTTAAAAGGATTTTTTAATGAATGTGAAGGTACACGAAGCTTTCGGTGGCATGGAGAGAAACAAGACCGCCTCCTAAAAGTCCGGAAGAAGCTTCACGGCTCGTAATTCAGACCTTAAAGAGACATCAGAAGGCAGATGTTGAGGTATTAGCTAATATAAACTTTTTAAAGTGTTAGAAATTAAAAAAAAGAAATGTATGATTTTAACACATATCACAATATTTTCTCGGTTGGCATTGTTTTCTATAGGGATTATTGGCTTTCTACGGTCTCCCTCTACCGCATGATTTGGTTGAGCTCACTATTGGTGCTCCTACATCACAACCACATGGACTCAAATTCGAATTGCACACTCTCCCGGTAAGTAAAAATGTCATCTTGAATCTGTTTTCTTCGTGAATTGAAGCTTTTGTGGGCCGATTGTTCGACCTTTTGTCTCATCCTTCCGTTATTTTGAAGAGAATTGTGTGAAAATTTTGTTCGGGGGGATGAGAATAGATTTTGTCGGTGGTATGAATCATGAAATTAAGAGAAATGAGTGATGATCATGAAATTAAGAGAAATGAATCACAACTTGTTACATGGTATTTCGCTTCATGGTAAATTTCGGAGCAAAGTATTTTAATTACAGAGAATATCCGGATATTTTGCTTCATTGTAAAGGATTTTGGTTGAGGTGTACAATGATTTATAGGTGGATGTGAAGGCTGTAGCAGATGGTGATACAATAACTGTATATGTTAGCACTAACAACGCTAGGGAGTCTTCGAATGTTCCTAGAGAAGTTCAAGTTGCAGCTGTTCAAAGATCTCAGGCACGTGCTCAAAGAGATTACGATAGGGCAGACGAACTTCACAAAAAGATGATCGATGCAGGATATAGGTTGAATTACCCTTTTCTTTTTTTCCCTNTGAACATTCAAAACCAGGAAGTCCTTGCAAGAAAATACCGAATAAGACTAAGGTTGTGAAAAAATGAAGTGTGTCTCGTGTTTGTCTTCTTTTTTTTTTTTCCTGATTTGTTTCGTGGCAATGATTTTGAAATGGCAATGTAATTAGGGGGATTGATGCGCCGGAGACCAAAATGCCGTTTGGGAAGCAGGCAAAGGAAGAATTGGCTAAAATTGTTCAGAATAAGTGCTTAAAAGTTCTGGTGTTTGATGAAGACCGATATGGTCGATGTGTAGGAGATATATATTGCAACGGCATGTTTGTTCAGGTAACGAAGGAAAATGAAAATGTATTCATGTGAGTTGACAAAATTAGAATGCGACCATTTAACGATTTCGTATATATTTCCTCGTGTAGGAGTCGATGCTCAAGAAGGGCATGGCTTGGCACTATAAAGCTTATGACCAACGTGCAGAGTTGGATAAGGTTTTCTCCTTGTACTTCTATAAGGGTGTAAGTAAGGCTGTACACGAGCCAAGCTGAGCTCGAGCTAAGCCCGGCTCTGCTCGTTAAGTAAACGAGCCAAAAATTGAGCTCGAGCTTGACTCGTTAATATTATCAACGAGCCGAGTTCGAGCCTTAACGGATCGATCTCAAGTTTTTACGAGTCGAGCTATAGAAGATTATATAAAAAATCTATTTTCGAGTCTTAATGAGAGTTATCGAGCTGAGTCGAGCCGAGCCCAACTCGTTAACGAAACGAGCTTTAAGCGAGCTCGAGCTCGTCTCGTTTGATTCGAACTCGAACTGAGTCAAGCTGAGCTCACGAGCGGCTCGTCATTTAACAGCTCTATGTAAGCTAGTCTAGCATAGGTTGAGCTTGTTTGAACTTTTATCAACCTCTGAGTATCGCGGTTTTGCTATGAAGCATGACACGACTCATGAAACATCCACAATTATTCATAAATGGCGTATAGACACGTGTCATACAATAATATATAATATACTTTGGATAAGGCACCATCAAGTAATGGATGACTGTATAAGAAAGTATCCGTATGCTCCATAGAATTTCTGCTGAGTATCGGGCTTGAAATTGATTAATTTCATAATTTGTTTAATCAAAATCGAATTAGTAAGATTTAAACAACCAAAAGAACTTGAGCCTCAAGTAGCTTAGCCTAGTTAAGCTTGACATGAAGTTTTTGGTGATATAAGTTAAGAGTAATTTAGATTGTGTTCGACAACTATTCCTCTACAATATGTGATTCTAATTTGAGCTTCTTGTCTAATATGTATGTCGGTAAATGTAGTGGGAGAAAGAGGCTCGAGCCAAGCGGGTCGGTTTGTGGGCATCATCAAACCCTGAGATGCCATGGGAATGGAGAAAGGACAGGCGTGAAGGCCGATAGCTCCAAGCATTTTCATAACTATTTATTAGGATTTGTCTATGTAACTATATTGTATTGTGGTAAATGGTGTAATGGAAAATTTGGCGTGAAATTATTTCAATATTAAAAGTTGTGAGGTGTGAAAATTATGTATACATAGTTTTTGTCATCATATCATATGTATCACAGTACAAGCTGCATATACATATCTGTTGCCAAAAAACATCAAATAGAACAAATATATGTCCAAGTGAAGTATCAGAAAAAGACAGTAAAGAAGAAAATGCCCTAAACAGAAGGGAATATTTGCTGTTCGAAAACACAATGACGGTTTCAAAGAGGCACACGCACGAGTGCATAAAAACCAGGCTAGCACCACTTTCACTGCAAGATGAGGGAAAAATACGAAAGAAGAAAAAGATCTCAATGGAATTGGGAGTTTAACATTTCAAACCAGCACCTTCATAAAACTCGATCGTGCTTATGTTTGGCAATGAATACGAACGTGTCTGAAATTTCGACATATAAACAGCCCCCTAAACACTAACCACAAAGATTCATTAAAAAGATAACTTTTGTGTGTTTTCCTTGTAGATATAATTTTCATGTACTTGGATGGCATCATTCAAGATGGCGAAAAAGAGACGTAGGCTTACTTTTTCTGGTTGCTTATGTTTCCATTTGCAATGTAAAAGCACACCTCATCTTATTCAGCTTCCTTTGCATTATCAGAATCTGAATCACTTGAATTACAACCTTAACAAACACACACACAAATGAAAAGATAAAAAAGAAACAGTCAAAGTTTAGTAAAAGAAACAAGAGCAAGTGAAAAAATAGAGCCACCGACTAAAAACGATCAATTACCGGGATGCTTATCGCCTACTTTCCACGCAGAAGCACTACTCCCTGTGGCCCTGTTAATCCATGCTTTTGCCTAAATTCAGAAAGGCATAAATGAAACCTTTTCTCACAACTCAATGCACACAAATCCCAAGACAAAACCCCAAACCCAGAAGCTCCAATGCCTTCCTCATTTGCATAACTTAAGGCACATCGCTTATAAATCGCATCTTTATGCAAAAGAAGAGTAAACGAAAAGAAAGTGAGCTAATACAACAAAGTTCCATTTCCCCTCATTTGCAAAACTTGAGCAAAACCGCTTAAAAATTGCATCTTTTTTCGCGAAAGAGGAGCAAACGAAAAGAAAGTGAGCTAATACAACAAAGTTCCATTTCCCCTTATTTGCAAAACTTTAAGCAAAATAGCTTAAAAAGTGCATCTTTGTGCAAAAGAAGAGTAAACGAAAGAAAGTGAGCTAATACAACGAAGTTCCATTTCAAATCGGACATAAATTGCAGAATCAAGAAATTCAGGATGAAGTTTAACTCAGAAGAACTACTCAAGGTAACCCTTAATCAATCTTGTAACCCTTAATCAATCTTGAATCTCCATTCCATTTCACCATTCCTTTTATGTTTGTTTATAGAGCTTGAGCAATCAAAAAACACATCCATATATCAAATACACACACAATAGAGAAACAAATTGGGGAAAAAGAGGAAAAATTACCGCTTTGGTATCTCTGGCGACCCCATACCCGCCGTAGTACATCTGGCCCACAAGCACTTGCATGGCCGTGTCGCCATTCTTGGCCTGCTTGAGCGTGTCTTGGAACCAGCGCTGGGCACAATCCGCCACCACCTCCGCCAGCGGCGTCCGCCGCTGCGCCTCCGAGCTCTCCGCCACCCTCGTCGGCCGTGTGGTCAGCCTGAGATGGTGGGATTCGGGTCTCGACACGGCGGGTTGGGCCGAGGATTGGGATCGGGTTTTGGATACGGGTCTCGGATGGGCGGGGCGGCGCGGCCCACGGTTGGGGGAATTGATGAAGCGAGCAAATTCAGACGAAACTGATTTTCCCATTAACAATCAAGAAAAAAGGTTCGAGATTTTGCTGTGTTTTTGGTCCGAGTGTGAGAGGCTGCTTTTGAAGGTGCACTTGAATTCAATGCTTTTATTATTATTATTTCATCTTTTTGTTTAGAGATAAAAGGGAGGGGATGATGATGAAGATCTCTCTTTTTATTATTACATGTTTTAACAATCTTTTTATAATTTGTTTTGAACCTATAATGGCATTTTCCTCTTTTTTAGTTAAGCTTTTTATGTCAAAAACACATATTATTTATATATAATAAAATACATTTCAATATTATTTTGCATGTTTGGGTTGAATTTGTCACTATTTTAGTATTTTCAATCACATGTTGATTCAAGAATTTTTTTATTTACATAATAAAAAATAAAAATTCTTACTTAAAATTCGAATATTTAAGATAATCAATCATCAACAGTAAAATATATGAATTTGGTGTTATTTTCACAAGTAACTTTTTTTCACTGACAAATTAAAGTATTGTTTATTTATTTATGCCTCTGGTGGCCTGGGCTATGAAGGTTCCGGTTCAAGAAAAGGTTCAAATGTTTTTGTAACAAAATAAAAAGTTTGGGTGTTGCTAAATACCGCACCCCTTTTTGCTAAATACCGCACCCGTAAAAGACAATTTTGCCCTTTTTAATTATTTATTTTTTTTTCTGCTGGCCGGCCGCTAATTGCGGCTGTAACTCGCGCGGCCGGCCGCTAATTGCGGCCACCACTGGCTC